CATAAAGTATGTATAATTTAATAAAATCTACAACTCTCAATTTATTTATTTATTTTTATAAAATATTCATTTTCACTCTAAACACTCCCATATATAAACTTAATATTTCTATTCCACACAATTTATGAGAGGGGGAGAGCCGAATGAAGAAAGGATTGTGAGGAGATCCCCTCACTTTGCTAGTTTATAGAGGAAATGAAGGAGACAAAGAAGATTAAAAAAATTAAAATAAATGAAAAGATGAAATGATGGAATGGTGGGTTTGGGGATACTGTGGGTGTTGCCCACGGTTTGTTGTTGTTGTAGTTTTTTTTTTTTTTTTTTTTTTTTTTTTTTTTTTTTTTTTTTTGCTTCCTAGGGGGGAAGTTTTTTTTTTTTTTTTTTAAATTTATTTATTTATTTTGAAAAATAAAGGGTCACTGAGATCTATCCACGTCAACCAAAAGGACAAGAAATGCTGATTATACTGTATATGAAACACGTGAATTCCGTACTAATAGCATATGCAATATTAAAAAATAGGGCAAATTACGTATACCACTTTCAAAATTTAGCTAATTACAGATACTCTCTTGAGGTTTGAGAAATTACAGATACCCTCCTGAAATTTATATTTTCATAATAAATTGCCTCTTGGGGTTTACATTTTCATAATAAATTGCCCACTAATTTGTTATGAAAATATAACTTTTAGAGAAGTATCTGTAATTTCTCAAACCTCAGAGGTATCTGTAATTTAGCTAAACCTCGAGGGATATATGTAATTTGCCTAAAAAATAAAGTAAATTACAATGGGGCGGGCTTCCTCCCGTAATTGAACTAGGGGATACTATTGAATTTGTGAAGTTTATCACGGATTCCATTTTGATAATTTAAATCATACAATACGTAAAACTCGTCGAATATTATATACTTATTAAAAATCGCTTTGATTGGATATCGATAGCTACGTGATCAAATTAGTTTTGTATAAAAAAATGCATGGTAAAAAAAATAAATTGTTAGTACTCGACGAGTTCTACACATTGAACGGTTTGGATTATTGAAACGGGACCCGTGGTGAGCTCTCACGAGTAGTGGCGAAATTAGAAAATTAAATTAGAGAGAACACTTATTAATTACAATATCAAAAAAAATTTCAAAAATATTTCATGCAAGTTTTTACGATTGATTTCTAGAAATATCAAAAAAATAATGTTATTTGTAACTAATATATAATGGACAATACCAAAAAAATTTGGATATAAGTTTTAAAATAAATTATATAATGATAAATGTTTTTTTATATAAAATTTGATTAAAAATTCAATATAATGGTAATACCATGTCATTATTGATATGTGATATCACCAACTAATAGTACATAAATACATAGAGAGTGAACCTCACATGTCAAATGTAACTAACAATCCAATAAATTTCATATCTTTATAGTGAGATTATTTATACTTGTGTCAATAATAATGACATCACCGTTACATTCAAAAATTTTCATAGATAATATGGTTTATAGTAGTCTCTTCATTTTTAATTAAAACAACCATTGTTGTTTTCATAATTTTTAAAATATCATTGACATTTCACTCTAATAATATTTTTGTAATTTTTTTATTTAAAATATTTTCTTTATGTTTACAAAATTTGAAGAAAAAAAAAATCCCAAAATCCATGGGGGGCACGTGACCCCCCTGGTCCCTCACTCTCTCCGCCACTGCTCACAAGCCCAACAATACCCTTTAGTCTGATCATGGACTGGAGGGAAACCCAGCCCAATTACAATAACCTCCACGAGATTTGAACAAAAGATTGTTAATCCCATATTTTAACATAATTATTTACTTCTTTTTTAGTCAGATTAAAATAATTAAAATTAATATAAATAATGGGTCAACACTAAAATAAACAAAATAAGTATACACTTTAGTAAAAAATATATGGCAAT